TTGGGAGGATGAGGAAGGAGGGTTGCAAGTTCAAAGCCAACCTCAGAAACTCAGCAAGGCCCTAAGCAACTTCACAAGACCCTGTCTCAAAAATGTAAAAATAAATAAAAAGGGCTGGGGATGTGACTTAGGATCGTTAGGCACCCCTGGATTCAATCCCCAGTCCTCAGCAAAAAAWAGAATAAAATAAAACAAACAAAAACCACACATGTCCATATCATTTTGGCTTCATGGTTAAAATTTCAGTGATTCCCTTCTCAGTGACCAAGCTCCTCGGTGTCACCTGAGACCCTCCATATCTCCTCTTCCTGCCCCCTCCTCCCCTTCTCACAATGCTTTTTCCCTCCACCTGCTCTAGGCTCCACCTAGTCTAAATGATGTGAAATTGTACAAATTATAATCTCTAATGCTTTCATGTGTTTGTTTTCCAATGTGAAATGCTGCCTCTGGTCTATGCTGCTGCTTTCTCCCACCACTGGCTGGGTATAACTTTGGACCAGTTATTAAATCTGTCTGGGCCTCTCAGTTCAGATGTATAAAATGTTCACATGAGGAGAGGTATTACATAGAGTTGTTTGGGAAACTAGATTAAAAGTTCTCGGGAAAAAGCATATCACCATGTCTATAGTCAATAGAATATGAAATGTTAATTGTGCCATTATTGTGTTTCCTGCCACCACCTATGTAGCCTGTTGTCCCTGGCTCATAAGTGATATCAACAAGTGATATCACTCAATGTGTCCATTTATTGACTCTTTCTTACCTTGATCAGCCCTGAGAGCAAAGGTTCTGACTGAAACTTGGGAATCACCAGCACTTGGCACATTTCAAATAATGTGGATGAAGAAATTCATAAGTTCTTTCTGTCTTTCCTGAATTTCTGAAATCCATAATACCTTTGGAAATGAATACTTCCACTCTCAGGTAAATATAATAAATAGGAAGCATTCGAAGGCTAAGTGGGGTCAGGGAGTAGCTCAGTGGTAGAGCACTTGTCTAGATAGCACAAAGCCCTGGGTTTCCATCTCCAGCTCTGGGGAAGAGGGAGGGAGATAGAGGTATCATGCTTTCTTATCACTCACAAGTAGATTTAAGAGATCCTTTGACTGTTCTCTAAGCTCCCCATGTCCCCTTACTCCTCACCTTGACTCCTTTCCTGGGCACTTGCAAATAGTTCTGTTCAACATTTTCTCTTGCTTTCATGTAGAGCTTGTGGCCTCCAGGAACAGAGAAAGTTCCTGCAGAAATGCTTTCCATTAGGGTCTTTGAAAGCYGATTCAGTTCAGCCTGGCAGTATTTTTCAGAAGTCTCCTCATTCTTCAGCAAGAAATAGTTCTTCTTCTCCTCTACTATTTTCTGCAGTGGAATTATAGACACATGTTACTGGAAGATAGGAATG